GTAAAAAGGGCCTCCGGCCACCTGCACTCACCAAGCGAAACGCAGAGGTAAACCTCTACTTCACGCTGGTATTCTGTGAGGTCGTGGTACCACCCTGGTTCGAGCCGGCCCATCCGTGCGACACCAAAAGCTGCCGCGTGGCTCTACTACTGTTAAATCGCAATAACAAAGTTCCGAAGTTAAAGCATATATAGAATAGCTCCGAACTACCAATCGGAGCGTTGGTCGCTCCTCCGGCAAAACACCTTGCCCGGCGGGAGATCTCCCCTTTTCCTTCCACCTCGCCACACTGGTGACCCCGACGTGATATGAACACGCAACCAACAACCTTCGGAAACTACAACTTCAAACCTTCGTCATCGTCCTCAAGTACCCCATTCATTCGCTCCCGAGCAGAAGATATTGTCTGCAGTCTTCACATTCTGCAAGCCATCTAGCTTTACAAAGGTTCATCGCAGCACTGGAATAATAATGCTTCCTGTTCCTTCAAGCTACTCTCTGCGCTACAGTGTTCGGCACGGCTCTGAGCCTTACTGCTCGCCTCTGCTTCACGGCACTCTCGCAGATTATACTTGCCTTCATCTTGACTCACCGCAGATTTATAAGGCAGACTTCTGACATTTGCTCCGGCCCATTGTTCTCACGGGCATAACTTGCAAGTGTGTAGCATGGCATGCATTACACACTGGCATATCGTTGGCACCAGCGTCACTCGCCCTTACGCACACATCATGCATTCCACACCGGCATTAAGGACACACCGGTAATCGGACTGCACTACCAACCTCCGGTCTGAGTAGAGGGGGGGGGGGGGTTCTGCCCGGGGGCGCTCCCCGGGCAGAACACCTTGCCCGGCGGGAGATCTCTCCTTTTCCTACCTACGGCCACAATTTCTAAGTCTATCACGCAGATAAACTATGAGCATAGTCCTCTTCAGAACTTCAAAAGTTGAGCCACCTTGAGCTTCCTAGCAGTGAAGGACCAAGTCTCAGATCCTTTTGTCATCACTGGCAATTGGTTGTACAATCTTGTTTTCAAGTTTCGAGGAATTTTAATATACGGAGCTAATAAGCTACAGACTGTAGTTAATATCATTAAATATACTACGACGTGGGTATTGCTTACCAACTTCTGCTTGAAATGTGAAAGAGAGAAAGAGAGAGAGAAAGAAAGAGAGAGAGAGAGAGAGAGAGAAAGAAAGAGAGAGAGAGTTAGAATAAAGGTAAAATATTAGAATTTTTGGAAAAGGTTGTTGGATTGTAATAATATAGCATATTTCGTTATCGAAAATAAAGTTTTGACTGTCACAACAGTCTAAATCTTATGCATAAACAGTTAAAATGGAAAGTGGTTAGCATTAATTTGGTTAATTACTTTACGGTAGTAAAGATCGGCTCTCGTATACTCAACCATTTAGGAGTTTAACTATTTGGTAATAAAGCATCCCGCTAGTACGGTGTTTGATGCGTTTAACAATTCTAGTTTTAAGGGCATGCAAATAATGCTCGGATCCAGGTGATAGTAATAGTGTTACGGCTGCAATAAAATCTGTTTTATAGTTTGAATCATGAATGTTTATTACCAAATGTTTCGTCTAGCAAAAGCTGAGCTTACATAGATTTATCTATGTTATTTTTTAAGGCAGGACAAAAATACGAGGTGGTACTATATTCAACGCGTATAGATATATATTTTTATTTCGGATGTGACTGGATCGATTTAAATGTTTTTTTTTTAATATATAAGTTATATTTTAAAGTGATCTCGTATAAATTAAAAGAAAAATTCTTTTTTTTATAGGAGAGGGGGCAAACGAGCATGCGGCTGTAATGTATTTTTATGAATATAAATTATATTTTAATTAATAGAAATAAATGTATCATGCATGCTTTCAGTAATATAAAAAATGCGTTCATTTACCCTCATTTACTAGTCTATATATTTTATAATTTTATGCTACGACGCGATGTCACCATACAATACTACGCTAGTTGGCCGTATAGACAAAGTTAATAACGTTGGCGCGGGTGGCGGCGGGAGTACCCCCCCCCCCCCCCCGAACAGATGTGTGTCGGTAGGCTGCGGTGAGAGGGGTGCCTCTCCCCCTACCCCTACCGCTGCAGCCGAGGCGAAGTCGCGGAGGAAGAGGAGTGTTGGTATGGCGATGCGCCACTCGCCCTATCCTTCGCGACTCTGACGGTGCCGCACCGTTGATGCGGTCGTGGTGGTGTCGCGGGGGGAGAGGAGTGTCGGTATTGCGAGGCGCCGCTCTCCTTACCCTCCGCGGCCAAAACTTGGTTGGCGGCGGAGCCAGAGACCAGATCCACCGCTGGGGTCGGGAAAGCGGGTGCTACTAAGCGCTCGATTTTCCTGGCCCCCATGACCTCCGCGTATCGGACTCGGGGGGTTCGATGCGCAGGTGGAGTTGGAGGCCATGGAGTGGGCGTGCCTTGTATTCCTGGTGCGCCTTGCCTGAGAAAGAGATTGGGGAGGAGAGTTCCTCCACCGAGAAGGGGCTGCCATGGGGCGGCCGGCGCTAGTGGGGTCGCGGATGGGTGCGAAAGCGTTTCCGTGGCCCTGCCAATATACGGCGAAGGCGGAACACCATGGGGTTTTAGTCGGTGCGAGTCCGACATAACCCGTCCTAGCCCCCGCAAGGCAGGTGGGTATGCATTAGGATTACCCCATGTAAAAAAAGGGTGGCGGTGGGAGTGGACAGACTTCAAAATATTCAAGCAAGAATATTGATAAGACTCCAAATCAATTTATATTATAGCTGATTTACACAGGGTCAGTAACTGGCTCCAAATTTGAGGCAAGTCAGTGCTGATCCGCTACTGGCATAATGTAAATTGATTTGAAGTCAGTACAGGGCTGTCTGTGCGACTACTAACTGCGTGTAAACAGTGCTAGACAGTCCTTCCTCGGCGCCAGCACAGACGCCTGTTACTGATCCCCGCCTTAACTATATAGAGGTCATTCTAGTTGTTACCTTTTGAAATCAGTTCGTACCTTTTTTATTAAAAGTTAAGTTAAAATTTGTAATATAATTTGTATATCACATAGTTTTATCAAAATATACTATGTGTATAGGGAATAAGTACATCACATTCGTATTATAAAATTTTATAAGGTAATAATTTTTTCCATTAATGTACATAATCCATAACGGTAATTATATACATACATTTTCCCTTTTAGATTAAATATTTGATCCCTCATATTTTTATAAAGGCAGCTTTGAAGTCACATGATTTTCTCAACCGTGTAAGTTCTGATACAAAGGAGTATGCAGGACAGGATTATAGCACAAACGAGTGCGCAAGTACAGGTATACTCCCCATTCCCCCTTCATAGGCCGATGGGACGGCAATTCAACACGACCAGAGAGAGAGCAGATGCAGAACAACGGCTTTAAGTGCTTTCCGAGGCACGGGGTTGATATACTGACAACTTGACTTTTTTTTTTACTTCTTATAAGCCAGTGCTTGACCACAATCCCACCTGGTGGTAATGCAGCCTTAGATGGTAAATCGCACTGTCTTATCGTAACAAAAGCCTATTCAGTCTTGCCTTGAAGACGCCCAGATTGTATCCGAACGGAAAGATAGACGCCGGCAAATTATTCCACTCCTTTGCTGTACGGTTCTAATGCGTGGAATACAGATAACAGAAAATAACAGAAAAACTTTTACTCAGACATAAATTTCCTAAAATCTACAACAGGTTACTTTACTATTTATGGGCCAAGCTATTATACTATAATATAAAGATTACGAAACTTTTTCATAAGTATTATACCAACCTGAAATATATAAAATAGAAATAACTGAAGCAAATCAGCCTTAAATTCAAAAATGAATCAGTGAAGCAATATCCAAATGCGAGCAAACTCGTCGACAATGACTAAACTCTCATAAAATATGGCGTAGAAAGATAAAAGCACCAGTTGTGAAGCGCGGAGGCGAATTATTGTCATCGTAAAGTAAAGCGCCCGACGCTGCGCGAGTTACGAGTTGTTTACTTGTTGAAAAATATTCGATAGATATTGTTATCCGTTTCTATTCGATTCGAGAACGTATGGCAGAATGAGCTTGCCACATTTAGATAATAGTGGGATTATTATTATAATAGAAAGAGGTATATATACCGAAAAGAGGCGATTGCATGTTATAATGCTTTCATTTGTATATTTATAGAATACCAATGTGTTTTCAATTGTGGTTTGAGCGTTGTTGAGTCCTCTGTTTTTTTTTGTCTTAATCACTCCATAGCTTCAGCTCTAGTATCATTCTAAATTAGAGCAATTTTAGACAAAACTTAATTTCATAATTAGAAAATGTAAGAAAAATACATATTAAATAAAACAAATCATTCAGATTTTCACATTTAATTAAACTTATATTTGATTCCCGACGTGTCACCATGGTATCACCCATAGTCACGGGGGGACCGAACATGTTCAAGAACATCTCCGCCAGTACATCAGCTTTCAATAGCGAAGATGGTTGGGTGCTACCATAATCAGATGGTAACACGCAACCATCCTGTAAATAATAAAATTAAAACCAAACCCAAGCGTGCCACATTAAAGACTGTAAGCTCGTTCTGCGTAGATCGGACCAACAAAATAATATACAAAAGCTGAAGGTCGGCCTTACTATGACATCGGAACGTCAAACACCTCAGTTCCCCCGTTACCATAAGTGCTGCAAACCTACCCAAAACGTGGGAAATTAAAAACAGGTTAAATTAAACGCGATAAAATCCCCAAAATTAGTTTTATTTAATGTCAATAATTCGTGTAAAGAAAAGAAATATATGGAGTACTTAACCCTAAAATTGTACTTTATTAATTTCATTACAATGTTATAGTGAAAAAATTTGTTAAGCTAATATTCCTTATAATAACTTTATAAATTACTCCCTAAAATCGCTTACAGTTAAAGAGCTACTAAACTAAGACTAGTCAACGTGTATATCAATACTACGTTTTAACGCTAGTCATAGAGATGCGTGAAATTGATTAAAACAATGACGTATGAAGTGCACAGCTGCGCTATATCGATAGGCAGGGAAATATTCACTGGGAAACAACGCCATATTTTGAATCGATACGTTCGTATTGAAGTGTAGTGCAGAAATAATTCAACGTCTTCTTTAATTCTCGGATCTGAAAGATAGTAAAAGTATAAAAGTCTTTAAGATGTAATTCAATATGAGAAACAGATGTTTGTGTAACATACATATGGCAGTCGGCTATTTACAAAATAATATGTAGTAGTGCAACCGGGCCTATGTTCAGCTGGGAATTGGGCTGCAATGGCGATGGCGATGATGAATTAAGTGGTACAAAAATGAAAGCATGGTAACTGCGTTAACATTTAAGATTGCGTTTCATATTTTAAAATATTCACTCTGCTGTCGGCTGTTCATAGGTTCGGTACCGGGCTTAATTAATTTTTGAGTTAATCTTTAAATAACTATGTCGTATTTAAGTTGCTTAAATGAGAGAAGTGAGGGATTAATAACTATTGCTACAAAGCAATTTCATTTAATATAAAAGCAGAATGATAACGAGCTATGGCTAAAAATAATTTGGCAGTTTATATACATGGCAAAAATGGCAGCGTAAACGACTTACGATAATATAACGATAAATACCTTTTTCGTCAATTAGTCGATGCATCAAAAACAATCTCATATTATCAACCTCCACCCTATACAATTCCACAACGATGCACGGTGAGAACAAAAAGAAGCAAAGTTGACAAATGTGCATGCTAACGAACCACATAGTTTCATACGGCACCTAGAATTAAAATAAAACAATAGTAGGAACTCAGTAAAATAGTAAATATTCAATGAATATAATTCAAATTCGAAAGGCTAACAAGAAAGTTTGGTAAGAATTTACAAAGATTAAAATTTCTACAAAGATATCTTTGCGAATTTCTTCCTCATAACTTTAATCCACTGCTGGATTAAGGTCTTTAGAAAAATGTGTGAAATAACATTCGTTTTGTAAGTCTTAAAGTAGGACACTCACTGAAGAGATATAATAATGATTAAAATTCAGTTTCGAATAGAATATTGCGTAGTGGCAGCGTAACAAAATCATTTACCCCATAACATCTAGGGGGCACCATAAGAGCACGACGAAAAATACCGAATTTGGAGATGGTTAGCAACAACTTCCTTATAATATATATAATATAGATAATTATGAATAAAAACTAAAACAATATCATTGACACACAGTTATGACTACTTGTTCCGTGACTACATTGACAAAAAAAAATGTTATAGAATTTATGCATTTGACGCTACGTTTTGGAATTTATGAAACTGACATCAAATAATTTTACGCATTCTAAAACCACGCATTTTGCTAATAATTACCGCTAAAAGGAGCCCGCTCACCTTGGCTCCTACTTTCCGAAATGTATCCTTGGAGTACACTGATACCTTCAGTTGTTAGGGATTGAATTTTCTCCGAACCTGAACTATGGGCGGTTCATTGAGTCCAGAGCCAAAGCAGCCGCAAGAAAACTTGGTGTCTTTGCAAGGGTGCGACGGTACTTCACGCCGGGGCAGCTTCTTACCTTATATAAAGCGCAAGTCCGGTCGTGCATGGAGTACTGCTGTCACATATGGGCTGGCGCTGCAAAATGCCACCTGACAGCATTGGACTCAGTGGAGAGACGTGCTAAGAGGCTCATTGGTGACCTTGATTAAGTTGAAATGAATCTTGTCAACCTCGAGCACAGGCGCAGAGTAGCCAGTCTCTCAGTATTCTATAGGATGCACTTCGGTGAGTGTGCGCATGAATTACACGCTTTAATTCCTCCCTCTCCTTTCCACCATCGGACAACCAGACCGTTGGCAGGTCTTCATCCCTTTGATGTCGATATTACACGCATTAGAACCAAACGGTTTGCTTCGTCTTTTGTAATGAGTACAGCAAAGGAGTGGAATAATTTGCCGGCGTCTATCTTTCCGTCCGAATACAATCCGGGCGTCTTCAAGGCAAGAGTGAATAGGCTTTTGTTACGATAAGACAGTGCGATTTACCATCTATGGCTGCATCACCACTTACCACCAGGTGGGATTGTAGTCAAGCACTTGCTTATAATAAGTAAAAAAAAAATTTGAATACTTACGCGACCTTCAATGACTAATAGTATATGGTAAACATTCATAATTAGCTTAGGCAAGCTGCACGCCACGCTAAAGAAAATCTGAAATAAAAATGAAATAAAATTTTTAGTTTTTCATATAATCACAATATTTATCATAATATTTATCTACTTTTTGAGTCTATAGCTGAACAAAGAATTTTCAGACATTTTTAAAAATTGTAAAACTTGGGTTGATTGAGGAATTTAGTAATATTTATCGGTTGCTAAAATCTTGGCTACCAACAGCAGGGTGTACTGAACGCATTAAGGTTTGCACTGTGAAAACAAAGTGAATTCCCTTATGACCCACTTTACTAAGATCATCAAGAAATTTTAAATTTGCTTCGATTTAGAAACAAATAAACCTATAAGCGCTATGGCAAATATCACCCTTATGAGGAAATTTATAGCGGAGTAGTAGTAGTTCAGCAATGATATCCCCGCCGGCACAAATGAAATTGCTAATTGCAATTTTAAGTCCTAACACGTTTTCGAGGGTGAAGGAAAACATTGCGAGATAACTGCATGATTGAGAAACAAAATATATATTGGTCTTGTGAAGTTCTCCAACTTGAAGCAATAACCCCAATAACACGCAGCGGGGTTGACTAAATGTTACGAGGGCGACACTGAAACTTTTTAGAACTGGCCACTTGTAAATGATATAATAAAAAAATAAGTTCAAATTTTGAAAGTGGAACTCTTTGCCAATATTATTGTGTATGTATTTAATTAATTTGTCATTTGTTTACGATTTGGCGGCAAATTGAAAATTGTCTGTGTCACGTCAGCATGAATTTAATGCGAAAAAAATTTCGTACAATGATTTTTTATGACTTTAGATGTCATTTAAGTCAACAAGAAAGTTATGATAGACTTCGATAGGTCTTTCGCGATAAAGCCTCATCTCGTGCCACTGTTTATAACTGTTTTAATGAGTTTAAACGTAGTCGCAATAATCTCATTGATGATCGCCGTGAGCGACGGCCTTCTACAGCGACGCACTAAAGATATATAGACTGACAAAAGAGTGACTTATTAGCAGATTCGGACAACCTTAGGCATCAGTATGAATCAAGTGAACAAAATCCTCCATAAACATTTAGCGGTCAGGAAGCTTTGTGCCCGGTGGATACCTCATAATTTGACAGAGGCCCATAATTTCCGACGTCTTGATAGGTGTCGTGAAATGGTTCAAAAATTAAACGGAGATAACTCAAATGCTGTGTTCGACATACATACGGATGACAAGAGCTGGATTTATTGTTATGATCCTGAAACTAAGAGACAGACAGCTGTCTCGGCGTTTCCTTCCGAGGAGTTGCCAACTAAAGTGCAAAGAGGTCGAAGCGTGGAAAAAAACATGGTGGTCTCTTTCTTTCTGGTCTTTACGCAACAATTGTTTTAGAGGATCGAAACAATTGTTGCGTAAAGACAGTTACTGCAGAGTTGTACACTAACAATTGTTTGCCACTTGTCTTAGAAAAAGCTTGCAGTATGGTCTTCCTTCACCACGACAACGCCTCGTCGCACACCGCCAAGCAAACAATCGACTACTTGGCGACGTCAGACGTGGAATTACTGGATCACCCGCCCTTTAGTCCCAACCTCGCACGTTGTAATTTTTATTTATTTCCAAAAATAAAAGAAAAACTCCGAGAAAAACGTTTTATGGATGCCGAGGATGCAGTGGCTGCGTTTCAAAATGCAGTCGAAGAGACCCCTAAGGACGAGTGGGCAAAGTGCTTTTCTCAGTGATTCCATCGGATGCAGCGATGTATTAATGTAAATGGACACTATTTTGAAAATATATAATAAAACTAAGAACTTTACTAGTTTGCTCAGTTTTTGATTTTCGAAGAACTTTTAGTGTTACCCTCGTACATAATAAAATCCTCCCAGAAATGATAGTGTGCCAGACACTGGAATGTATTATACTGACTGTAACTTTAATTTACTCTCATAATGCAATATTATTTGTATAACTAAGCTTACGTTACGTACCGATGCATTAAAAAGTTCTGGAGTAATCAAATCCATTGTATCGGCCATACTTCGATACAGATACAAACAAAATCTTATCTTGTTTTCCTTGTAACTTTGCTTGTCTTTTATATATAAGTAATAATTACATTTCGGGTCCTCTTCTAGTTTTAAACGCAGCAACTTTAATCGATATCTCACTGCGTCGAGCAATATGAATCTCCAGACACGATTAATATCAAGAGCTAATAGAGCGAACTGGCTGACAATATAAAATAAAATTTCCTTATTACAAGAAAAGAAAGTGTAGTAGAAAATACAGTAGATGATTCTAAACAACCAGAGTAACAAGGTATAAATTAACGTTTTATTCCTGTCATAAGAGTAATGTTTCTTATTAATACACAAATAAGTATCAATTTTGCTTAATTTGCAAAAGAACTTTTTCAACTTGCTGTCGTAAACCATAAGAATGAAGACAGAAAGAACGTATTCTGAAAGTGACCAAATGTTATAAGTAAATTGGATGGTATAACATATAATGGAAGAGTATAATATCGTACTGAGCAAGCAAAAAGAGTAGATTTTGATGATGACGTTCACAGCAGATCTACATTTGAAGACTCTGAAATCGAATCCACAGATTTGTAAGAGAATAATTACGGGTTTGTAAACATCCAAAATATTTTTGCAGTTAAATGAATTGTTAACAGTTTTTCTTAAATCCATTATTTAAAAAACACAGTATTCTCTATCAAAGAATGCTTGTTTGTAATCAGAAATTGTTCAGATTTTTTATAAGTAAATTGGCTTGGTTCAGCTACTATTACTAATTGAATATATGGAACTCACAAAGTTACGTCAAAACAGTTTGTGGGTTGACTGTCACTAACAATCTACACCAAGGCGCCAAATCATACAAGAGTTGTATTTGCTTTAAGGACATTGAATTGACAACTATTCTAAAAAAAAAAAACTTTTTATGGGAAAATTATTCTTTGAAGATAAATTGTTGTCATTTGTACGTGTTAAATAGGTGTTGAAGAGGATGTGTTTGCAGAAAAGTCGTCACATTTTCAATTGATTCTGCATCCTACCTCACATATTACAGTACTGACAATAGGATTTGATTACTCCAGAACTTGATGCAAACGCGAAATAACAAATTGTCGATGCATATTATTGAAGTGGCCAACATGACCAAAACACGAGGGGTGCAATGCGCCGCAGGGCGAATAAAGCGAACACGATCAACTTGGCTTAATACTTGTATTTTCGCACGAACTAACCTGGATGTCATTGTTTTTACGCCAGGCGTTTGAACGCAATATACACGCACGAAGAACAAAGCAGCCGCGTTACACCGCGTTCCCTTTGCACCACCGTTTCGCAATCGCGTTAGCTTTGAATCGTGTACTTAGAATGCAGCCTTACTGCAGTTGGAATTTAACTTGAGTAATTTAAAAGTGCCGTGGTAGCTCATATAGTTAGCACGCGCTGTAAGTTTCACAGTAGCGAGTGACCCGGGTTCGATCCCCAGCAGCACCAATGAAATTGTTTTTTGCAATTTTAAGTGCTTATTTAACATGTGCTCGGCGGTGAAGGAAAACATCGTGAGGAAACCTGCATGTCTGAGAAATAAGAAAAAACATATTTCGAACGCATGTGAAGTCCACCAACATGCATTGGGGCAGCGCGGCGGACGTTTCCTTCCCTAAAACCTTCTCAGAAATGAGAGGAGGCATGTGCCCAGCAGTGGGACGTATATAGGCTGTAACTTTAACTTTAATTTAAAAGTGTTTTATCTTGTTTTGTGCGTAATTTTGCTTATTCAAATACTAAGTGAATTAAATAATAATATACCAGACTCTTCGTCCATCATAATACTTATAATTTCGCGTAGTATCTTAATTTTAAAGCGTAACAACGCATAGATATCTTCTCCAGGTTTGAGAAACCTGTTTATATACAGCTGTTTGTGATTATTACGGAAAAAAAATTAAAGATTTCTAAAATATTTTATAACCTTTAAAAATATTGGAGTGAATGTAACGTCCTTTACAGAAATACCGACTGCAAACACGGCGACTCATTGAATTTCAGGATAAAGCGACACAGACTGGCCACCACGTTCACAAAGCCTTTCAATTTATTATTGCAAGTTACTGGTGACAAAGGCTGTGCTTCAACCATGACAGCGTGTTCGACAAGCGATAAATTCGGCTTTGATTTCGACTTTTAATAAAAAAATAGAAGCAATAGTTTTGTTGATTTATATCTGTGTATACTACCACGATAAAAGCTAGCCCAGACGTAACGTGTGACTTTACCGCAATGTGGCATCCTACAAGGTCGGTGAATACAATAGTCGCTGCGATACAGCACTGGTGGTTGTTTTAATTTTTTTTATAGAATTAGTCTTATCCATCTTAGTCCTCACGGGTGACGCATCTGCATTTTGATTCGTAATCGAGGATAGATGCAGATGTCTATGGACCACAGCAACCACTTACCATCAGGTGGACTGTGTGCTCGTTTGTCACCCTTATGCTATAAAAAAAACAGTAAAAAGGGTCTCCGGTTCTCTACACTCACCATACGAAACACAGCAGCATTAAGCTGCTATTTTACGCTGGTATTCTATGAGAGCGTGGTCCTTCCCCGGTCGAGCCGACCATTCGTGCTACAACTACATATACATATACATAAATACATAAACACTCACGCCTGTCACCCAGAGGGGTAGGCAGAGATTATGGACTTCCATTTGGCACGATCCTGACACACCTCTCTCGCTTCCTCCACATCCATATACCTACGCATACACGCTCGTCGGTTAAAGGTACTCTTGATTTGGCCCATTTTTAATATATCGCCAATTTGGTCGATAAACTTTCGCCTAGGGCGACCCTTCCCGACTATGCCGTTCACCTCTGCAACATAAATTTGCTTTGTCACTCTTTCCTCATTCATTCTTTCTACATGGCCAAACCACCGAAGCATTCCTTTCTTAATCCTGGTCACAACATCATCTTGCAAACCACACTCTTCTCTTATTAAACAATTTCTCACTCTGTCATTCAGCTTCATCCCTAACATACTCCTTAATGACCGCATTTCTACAGCATTTATTCTACTCTCATGCTTCTTCTGCCACACCCAACTTTCACTACCATACATTAAAGTAGGTACTAACACAGCATTGTGAATTGCCATACGTGCCTTTTTGGACACATTCTGACTTTTCACAATAGAGTGTAGAGCCCCATTCACTCTATTTCCTGCATTCACTCGTCGTTCTATATCCTTATCATATCTACCATCCCTGCTAAACACACATCCCAAATATACAAACTCATCTACTTGCTCTACCAACTCCCCTTCTATTCTTATTTCACATATCGTTTTACTTTCTTCTCTTTCAAAAACCATAACTTTCGTCTTACTTGCGTTCACTTTCATTCCCTTTTCTTTTAATGTCCTGTTCATTAATGTAACCATCATTTGCAACTCGGCTGCCGACGACGCAAGTATGACTTGATCATCGGCGTACAAAAGGCATTTGACGGTTAACTCACCCATTCTTAACCCGCATTCTTCTACTTTCAAATTTTCCAAACAACTGTCCATAAACAGGTTGAACAACCACGGGGAAGCCACACAGCCCTGTCTGACACCTTTATGGATGTCAAACCAGTCCGAGTAGGCCCCGTTGATCCTGACACAAGCACTAGAGTCCCTATATAGAGACTTCAATGCCTGTATCAGACCAGCGCTCAACCCAAATGAGTTCAGTGTTTGCCATAACACATCCCTGTCCACTCTGTCATAAGCCTTCTCCAAGTCCATGAACGCACAAAAAACTTTTTGGTTTTTGGCCAAAAACTTCTCGGCGATCATGCGCATGGAAAAGACCTGATCCGTACATCCCATTCCCTTTCTAAATCCCGCTTGCACATCCCAAATTTTTCCGTCAGTTTCTTTCATAACTCTTTCAATTAGTACCTTAGCATACAGTTTTCCCACAATGCTAAGAAGGCTGATACCACGGTAGTTTTTACAGTCCTGCTGTGATCCTTTTCCCTTATATATTGGGACTATCACGGCTTTGCACCAGTCTCCCGGTACCCGCTTAAGTTCCCAACATAAATTAAACAAGGTGTACAGCAGGTCTGCCACCACTCCTTCTCCAGCCCTTAGCATTTCGAGAGATACTCTATCATAACCAGCTGCCTTACCTACTTTCATACTTTTCATTGCTTTCATTATTTCATCTATACTTATATCTCTATCTATTTCCTCTTCTTTCGGAATTTCTATTTCATTTAATTCAAACGTCTCATCACTCATAAACACGCTTTCAAAGTATTCCTTCCATCTCCTTAAACTCAAAACTTCGTCATTCAGAATACAGCCATTCTGGTCTCGTATAGCATTCATTCTAGGCTGTTGTGAATGTCCCCTGGTAGTTCTTACGAGTTTCCAGAACATTTTAATGTTTTCCTGGAAGTTATCCGATATTCTTCTATCATTCTTATCCGTTCTTTCTTGCTTTTTCCTTTCAACTACTTCTTTTACTCTCTTATTTAGGTGTCTAAAAACCGCCTTTTTCCTTTCAATATCATCATTCATACTGCTAGAATTACTAGCCTTGGTTGCTAGTAAATCTAGCCATGCTTTCTTCTTTGCTTCAACTTCCATCCGTACCTCATCATCCCACCATAACGTGTTATTTTTCCTTTCATTTGTTCTCTTGCTTACACCACATACTTCGGTAGCTGCATCCACTAAACCTTTCTTGACATTATACCACACAGTCTCCAAGTCTAAATCATTCATACACAATTCAGCCATACCACTTATATTTTCTCTCAATCTACATTTGAACTTCTCTTTCACACCTTCATCTTGTAGCCTCTCTGTTTTTATACGCTGTAACGCTGTGGTAGACACAGATGTCCGATGCCTCCAACGTCTGAAAAGACCATTAATTCGGCATAAGACCAAGTAATGATCCGTCCCTACGTTAGAGCCCCGGTAAACCCTTGTATCTACCACCGCGCTCCTCATTCTTTCATCAACAATTATGAAATCTATCATACTTCTATCATCACCTCTTTCCCATGTATACGTGTGAATCTTCTTATGACGAAACAAAGTGTTCGTCACAACAAGATTCTTTTCCACGCATACGGCGAGAAGGCTTTCACCATTCTCATTTATACTTTCATCACCAAACGTTCCCAATATCCTTTCATAACCAAGCCTCCTCACCCCAACCCTTCCATTAAAATCGCCTAATATCACAATATTTTCATTAACCTTGCATTTCATTAGCACCATCCTTACCAACTCCCAAAACTGCTCTCGGATATAAGTGGGCTTAGACATGTCTGGGGCGTAGACCCCTAAAACAAACAACTTCTTTAAGCCCACTTTCATTCGTATCCATAGCAGTCTCGGGCTTACACATTCATACTCTTTTACACAATGACCCATTCTTTCTGAAAGGATGATACCGACTCCCTGGCATGCCCGCTCGGTCTCGTCTACACCAGACCAGTACGCGGTATACATGCCATGTGTAGTGGCATCCTTTCCCTTCCGTTTCGTCTCATTCACACATAACACGTCTATTCCTCTATCATACATCATATCGCATACTTCATCCATCTTATCATTCATTCCTCCACATACGTTCAATGTAGCCAGACGGGCTTCCGCAATCCACTTTTCGCCCCTCCGGGGGACAGAACGTGACGGGTGGCGAACCTCGTCGCCGGTTTTCCTCCCGGAGATTCTTCGCACCCCTGCCCCATTAAAGGGGCGCCGGGAACTCGGGGCCATTTCTTTAATATTTTGCCTCATGGTGCGAAAGTAAGTTGTGGTATTTTTTTTTACGCCGCTACCACACGGCGAGGAGCCGAGTCAGTTCTTTCGGCTTTGTCGCTCGTTTAGCACCACCCGGGGGACACGTGTAGGGTGGGCCTAGGATTAGGTGGTCGAAGCCTACGGACGCGAGCGACTCATCCCCCCGCGAGCGACTCACCCCCCTCGTGCTACAACTATACTATTAATATAGCTGCAGCATGGCTCTACTACGTTATATGCTAAATCGTAATGTGTACACAGAACGTCATATTCGCAAATATTTTGCTTTGCAGTACATTACCGCAACACATCGCGTAGATTACCTCTAAATCTTTACTTTCAATCCTCTACAGAATTATGAGATGAATGATCCTTTATGTAGATATCTATGGGCCACAGCAACCACTTACCATCAGGTGGACTGTGTGCTCGTTTGTTACCCAAATTCTATAAAAAAATGAACGATGAAGTAAAGTAAACTATGCACAGACCTCCACTTATTTCTTAATATGGAGCAAAAAGACTAGTTAGGTGCTTCAGTGCATATTGTCGGTCTTCATATGGCTTTGAAATATTTTTATTCCTCAGATATGCTCTTGATGTTTTCCTTTACCACCAAATAGAAGGTATATCTTTTGAAAACGTGCTTCTGAGTAAATTTTACACGTAGATGTAATTATTTATTATATATTATTTTTTCGGTATTACTATATGTAATATTTCATCAGATTCAGAAGGAAATAATTTCATCATCATTTACAAGAATGGTTTAGAAAGAGTTGTCTGGCTTGACTGTGCGTTTTCCTCTAACTGAAATTTATTATTTTTTTCATTATTCATCTGGAGCATGCAAACACAATGCCAGATACTCGTACTATTTTTTAAATTACCGAAAACTATGCATTTCTTGTAAGATTTGCCTATATTTGGTAGGCTTTGTGAGCACCGATTCCGATAAAGATGTTAACGTTATTTCTTAAAATATGGGTGACAAGAAAGCACACAGTCCTAGTGATGGTAAGTGGATGCTGTGGCCCAAAGACACCCCCGAGGACTAACCAGTAAAAAGAGTCTCCGCTTCAACAGTAACATTATTATGTTGTTCTATTCTGGAAATTCGTAAAAGCGTGACCCTGCCCCGGTCGAAACGACCCGTTTGCGCTGCAGCGTGGATTTACTACGGAAGAAGTCTTCTGGGTTATAAGCACAGACATTACTGAAAATCTATTAGCTGTCCTCATTATCACAGGCGTTCAAAAGTCAAGAAATAAATACTACGTAACATGCTCGTAAGCCACCTGAAGTTGTCACTTCATCTAGTGGTACGAGTAAGCAGTGATACACACACTATGCGTTCGTAGCTATCAAAACTACAAAATTTCTTTCAATTATATACTAATATTTTACCCTCAAATCCTCAATAGACGCTTTTATGTCCTCACGCCTTTATAGAGATATAACATATACTAATAATAATTACGTCTCAAAGAACAGTGTTAGTTGACGAAAGTTTTTTTTTAATAGTGTAGTGTGATAAACTAGCACACAGTCCACCTCATGGTAAATGAATGTTGTGGCCCATAGACATCTATTTATCCTCAATTAAAAATCCAAATGTAGATGTCTTATTACCCCTGAGGACTAAGATGGAATGCCTTGTTTCCAGTAAAAAGGGTCTCCAGTTCTCTACACTCACCATACGAAACACAGCATTAAACATTAAGCTGCTATTTTACGCTGGTATTCTATGAGAGCGTGGTCCTACCCGGTTCAAGCCGACTCATTCGTGCGACAATCATAATATAGTTGCAACGTGGCTCTACCACGTAAAAAGGTAATAAAAAATTAAAATTACGACATTTTGTATTTATTCCTTTAAACTCAGAGCAATAGTTATTTACGAGACAACGATAATGATCAGTGAAAAAACACCATCAATAAAAAAAGAGCAAACTAAATTGTTTAAGACTACCCATTAGTCGACTCGGAGGACAATTCACAAGCTTTTACACTATTATGTTGTTATTACTCCGTGAATTACACACGAAGTCCAAATGCCAGTGATGTATATATCAGTATAGTGTAGTAATGGATACGGTATTTCTGAATATTTACATATTATGTATATTAGTTTGCGGTGTGACGGCGTTAAAGAAGTTGTCACCACTTTTTGTCTCCACTGCAAGGCGACCTTGGGCAATGCTTAATAAAATGTTATGATCTCCCATAGGCTAGTGGATTCAATAGACAGCAGCGACAAATATGCGAAACCTTTAGTACTGCAATCTTCAATCTACCTTCCGAGCGCGACGATAAAGTAAGTCTTCATTTAGATGGGAGGGGCCATCTTCAGCAGTGGATTTCTACGGGCTAACAAAGAGAAAGTTGAATTCCTTCTTCAACGAACCTCGCTGTCATCTGACTAATTTAAATATATATCTTTCCAAAAATATCTACCAAACCCAAACACCCAAGACTAATTCGTGTGGTGAGAAGAAAATAGTAGTAAAAAGTATCATAGTAGTAAAACCACAAGGCTCCCTTATGCATTCCTTGCATATGAGCCTCGTGAGATATGCCTCTTACGATATTCACACATGACTTGGAGTATTGGGTTATTTTACACCGCACCGCCTCTACAATAATCTAGCGAATATACTCTAAATAAATTAAAAACATTGTAATTATCTATGAAAACGAAAATTTACAGTAATTGTATGGAAATACCAGTAATTGACGTCCCGTAGCTAATTGATCACCTTATTTGTATATTTTAAAACAATAAAATACAATTTAGCATAGAACGTAAATTGTATTAAATTTCGAAATACTAATAAAAATAGGTAATTCAAAGTTAACAATCAACTTATTGACAATAGTGTTTGGACCATCCATGAATAAGTGAAGATTTCCTGCTGGAAAAGCTTATTTATATACAGTAGTCTTATCAATCATATTATAATATTATCCTGATCTCCCGGTGGCCAGTGGTGCTCTATGATATTGTCAGTCGTGTTGACTTTGTAGTGGCAGCATAAGGGATTCCACTTCCTCTTAACATTCCGTGGGTATTGTAAGAGGCGAGACAGGTTAATGAGAAATAGTATAGGCAACAGGATCTTCCAGTTAACAACTCAAAATAATAAATAAATAATAGTTTTAAAAAAACTAAAAAAGTCTTTTGTAGATAACCGAACTAAAGGGTAGAAAATAATTTTCATTAAGTTAAATATAAGAAAATAGTGATTAACATAAAAAAAAATATTTTATTGTAAAAATGCGTGCGATGCTTATTCAGATATTTTTATAATGACGCTAGTTATACAAATATCCACATGAATATTTACAACAAATGACATCAAGCACCCCACACTATTTTACAATAAAATTAATTTTTATGTTAATCACTATTTTCTTATTTTGAACTTATTGAAAATCATTTTCTAATTTTTAGTTCGGTTATCTACAAACGCGTGTTGTTTTTTTTTTGTTTTTTTATAAAATGTTATTTATTTTCAATTTTTTAGTGCGGCTAAATACAGAAGCGTGTTTTTTTGGAACGAAGTTCTTTTACAGACTGGCAGAAAGCGTAGTAGTTTTATGAATTATACGCAAATCCTCAGAATCCTGGCAAGGATAGTGGGAAAAACTATTTAAATTATTGCATTGTCATCGGTCCTTTATAAGAGTGCGAAGTTTCAAACAAATTCGACGTTTGAAAGACATGAAAATCACATTCAAAGATTCATTTACATAGATACATATAAATATATATATACAAAGCCAATAAAAGCATATTAAAAATGCGGTTGCCACCTTCCAAGCGTGGCAACTATGGAAAATATCTTCATATAAGGTCACCTTTTGAAGAGGCCTATGGCTAGTATGAATAAAAAATGTCTGTCAGCGCGTATGCACAGCAGTGTGACAGTGCCGCGATGGTATAAAATACTCAAATATCATCATCTTCATCATCATTACAGCCCTTTACAAGTCCACTGCTGAACATAGACCTCCCCCAAGGAGTGCTACAAAGCACGGTCCCGAGCCACCTGCACCAATCGACTTCCTGCATGTCTTACCAGGTCCTCACTCTACCTAGTGGAGGGACACACTACACTTCGCCTGCTGGTACGAGGCTGCCACTCGAGAAACTTTCTTCATATACCATTCATGAGCAACGATACTCAAATATAACTCACATGATTTATTAAATGAATAAATAATTGTCGTATCCACTTCAGGGCTTCTGTTTCACAGCTTCGTGGTTTTCAGCCCCTCGTCCGGATTGTCGTTAACCTGAATGATTGAGAACTTACGCTTTCGACATCATTGCTTTCAATTTGTCTCTTACTAAGGATGTTTGCTTATAAAATCACGTTCTTGTAGGCATCGCTTACTGCAGATATATTATCTTACTGGTTTAATATTTTTTAATTGGAAGAAAAAAAACCAACGTTAAATTTCAAGATACAGTAAAAAAAATAGACTTGTTTGAAGCTCACGTCCCGGGCAATAAAATAAAAGTCATTAATTCATTCAAGGTCACTGCTTTTTAAAAGTGATTATCCCATTCATAATAATTGAATGGATAATAGTATGACCACCAATATTTAGGCAGTAACCTCGCTAAACATAAACATATATAATAATATACATACATAATATGTGTATTATCAACGTTTAATAACTAAATTGATATAGGTTGGTTAGTTACAGCCAATGTATGTCTGGCCTCAGACCTCCTTCTGTTACTGAGAGAGTTTTAGAGCAAAGAAGTGTCTACGTAAAGTGTTGGTGGTATAGTCACATTTATTTTCAATTTTTTCAATTTCTCTGACCCTCCTCATTATGTTTTCCTTCACCGCTGAGCACATGGTAAATCAACACTTAAAATTGGAATTAAAAATTTCATTGGTGCTGGCAGCATATTACTACATTACGTATTGTGTAAAAATATATTTTTTCTGAAATTAACTAATAAACTTATTATTGATATAAACTAAACACTGTTCAGATTATTGTTTGAACAGCCTGTGTAAGACGGAAAAATTGCAGGTCGCACTGTTCAATGGTGTGAGCGACCGAGGCAACGACGTTATAAATAATAATGATGTTTTTTTCTACGAAAGAAACATAATTTAAAAAAAGACATTTCTGAATAAGTAATGGAACTGAACTAAAGGTTATTTTGATTTTTTTTTAATAATGAGAGAGCAATAAGCGAGTTAACAGAAAAAGGAATACCCCTGAGTTATTATGCTGGTTCTTTTACTTTTCAAACCCCAACTAACGACAGAAATGGTTGATATTAAGCCAGACGGATTATATGTGAGTGTATAATGCTTAGTACCTGTGCGCATCGAGCAATAATGATGATGAACTCAAAAAACTACAAAAAGTGAATTATAAAGAAAAATCTGCCTGGTATTCCATGTTGGTGAACACCACTCCTATTCCTGCCACCAGGAGTTCACTTACTGCTTAATTCCGGTTTGAAATCACAGGCTCTTTGGTATTTTATCTTAAGCCTTAGAAAAAAACAAAACATACGTAGCCACCGTTCTGGCGTTGATTGTAGGTATCGAAATTTACAGGTAACATAAAATCATACTACTTTTACGTATAAAAATCAATTATAAACAATTATTTATATAAAAAAATACGGGAGCAGTAATCCGCTGGCGGTTAAGTTCACGACAAAATTCTATAATAAACTCGCAATTCTCCCGACACCTATGTAACATCTCAGGGAGGAAGGAGTGCTTGAAAACCAGCGCTTCATGGGATCTTAGTCCCATGTAAGCATAAGCTGAGTCACCTCCGATTGCCTGAATTTAATTAAGATGAAGTACTTAGTTTATAATATATACACATGTTTTTAATGTGGCAATAAAATGATATTTATTTATTTAAAAGATGTATCGTATCATATATGTAGCCGAAGTGTGGTTACACCTAGGTTTAGCCGGTTACAACTGGGTGCAGCCGATTGCTAAGCTTAGGTTTATTCAATTTATTCAAGCCCAGACCTAGGTATGTATGGTAATTTAAAATGACATTAACTTCTATTAACTTTGTTAAAAATATGATCAAGTAATATCAGCGACAGTAGGTTAATAAATAGTAGGTAATTCTGTTAAATTCTTCAAAAATACGAAGCTATATCAACCACAGTATTATTAATGTGTGGGGTACATTTATGATATATTATAATTTATAACTAATATAAATGCTTGCACATTTTTATTATTTACAAATTATTCACACAGATGTATTCGTAGTTATATGCTGTTAGTTTAACGTAGGTGTATACGACCTACGTTTAACTAACCGCATTTTGGTGCACCTAGACTAACCGGCTAAGTCCAGGTTTAACCTCATTTCGGCCATTAGCCGTATCATATAACAAGAGTTAATGATCACCAGCATAGGTAAAGTTTCCAGATAAAAGCTCCTTCACAAGTCAGTGAAATGATAAAGACAAACCAAACATCAAAGGGATTACGTGGAACAGAACACAACCGCAAGGGAATTAAAGGTTTTCTTTTCGTTTTTTGTTTATAATCGAGCGCTTTGTGCGCTGAAACTTTTCAGTTCGCCAGAGTCGTTCGTGGGGCGCTTTATAGTCAATGGCTGTGCAGCTATCGTTGTAAAATGTCAGGGAAGAACTATCGGTGGATATGGCAATTTTAAATCATATAATAGTTTTGGGTCTTTATAAATATGTAAAATAAATAAAAAAATCTTATAAGACTCGGCTACAAAACTTGTGTCGCATAAAGTAAAAAAAAACTGGACTCTTAAATTTGTGTTTCATTACTAGTCACGCTTAATACTTATTTTCATCATCATCATCATCATTATAGCCCACTGGTATACAAGTCTCCTACAATAAATGCCACAAAGCACACTCCTGTAATTATCGAGTTTGTACATCTATTACCAGGTCGTTGACTCACTTTGTTCTCCATCAGTTGTCGGTTTATTTTTTATTTATTTATATTTTACAAAGTATACTTATTTAATAACATCCGACAGTACAAATAAACTTACAAAAGTTTTTCCATGTACCTCCGATTCGTAACTTCGATTATGTACAATGGGTTCTTCGAGCTATATGGCCTGCTCATCGTCACTTCAGCTTACAAATCCGTAAGGTTATGTAGGTAACTCTGGTTCGACTGCGAATATCGTTATAACGAAGTATGTCACGCTGAGTACTCCGTGTTTAGCTCTTACGAGTACCATAGCTGGCTGAGTGGCTTTGAGCATCCTCATACGGCTTGATGCAGGACCATGTTTCTGATCCATATCAAAACCTGACAACAGTTAGTTTTAGTTAGTAGTAGCAATGTAGTATGTAGTTTCGTTAGTAGAGTGGTGTACTAGGTAGTTAGTTGTTTAGGTATACACTCATGTTTTCAAGTTTAAAATTTTTATTGAAAAATATCATTTTGTAGTTTAATATAAATTTAGCCAGCGATAGTTAAAAAAAAATATATCGACTTCTGCTTTATCAAAAAAAGAACATTAGAAACTTTAACGTAGACGTCCTTTAAAGTAAAGGTACTTTCCAGTCTTTTTAATTAAGTAAAAATTAAACTTAAAATGTTAGAAGAGATCTATCTGCTTTGTAACCAAGTTTATATACGATATTATCAGCATTGGGGCTGCGCGGCGGAAACTTTCTTGCATTAAAACCTGCTCTCCCCAGAGGTGAGAGGGGGCCTGTGCCCAGCTGTGAGACGTATATAGGCTGCAACTTTAGAACTAAAATTATCACACAGTCTCACTCTCGGCGTAGTGCCAAGAGCATTGGCTGCGTTTCCTTGCTGCATGCCTTTCCTTAGCCTTCGAGAGGAAAAGAATCAGCCGCTAGCTTTATATGCTATAACGTAAATTTTGATAAGACACACCGTGTGATAGTAGCACTAGAGCCTATTACCCCATTACGTCCCATGGTGGGTATCGTAGGAGGCGAATATGAGAAATTCCAGAAAACTCTTATGGTTTTCGATAGATGGCGCTATAATCATTGCATTTACACCAGACATAATTAGCTTAGTCCGAAGAAGGACAAAAACAGTAATTTAAAATTGCCACCTCCATTCAAGTCCACTTCTCCAACAGATTACGTTGGTACTTCTATGAAGTAGAAAATTGTTCCGACTACTTCTTTGTTCGCTGACCACTCGCGGATTTTTTACTATTAAATTCGTCAAGTACAGGAGGCGACGCGTATTTGTAATAACTCGAATCACGAGCGCAATTTTGCTCTTTTCATGAACCTGTGGGTGAAAACTTTGGTACTTTATTTTTACGATTTAAGTGAAAATATCAAATGTTATTTTTCTCACAACGAAGTTTCATCATAGAAAAGGGATTTAGCGGTGTCTTAAAAGCCTTGCAGTGCCATTATTATTTACAAGATTATTGTCATATTATCCACCACATCTACTGCAAGTGCTTGTTGTAACAGAGGTAAGCGAATAATGGTGGAACTTTGCGCATGTACGATGATAACAGAATAGTTCTATAGCTGCCTGACATTTTTGCCTAATCCGTGGCAGGTGAACTACAAATCCGAAAGGATTTCTTTTTTTTTCTTTTATAGAATAAGGGTGACAAACGAACACATAGTCCACCTGATGGTAAGTGGACGCTGTGGCCTATAAACATCTAAACTTATTCACATTTAAGAATAAAAATGCCGGTGCGTTTTAATTCTGTGCTCCGGACTGTTTTATTCCAGAGTATACATAACTTGCCATACTTTATTTATTATGACATAGATCATCATCATCATCGTCATCAGTCACTACAACCCTATTGTTGGGTCTCTGCTATGTTATGAGGGGTTTGCTTTAGTCAGGTGGATTGACGATGGACTGTCGGACATTTTGCACGTTAGACGTTGCTTCCCGCCGTGTATTTTTAGCAATGCTTAAACTATATGTTTATAGTGTCATTTATCGCAAGCTATGGTGTCTTTTGGGCTAATCCCATAGTCAAAACTTACGATACCCATGAGACAAATTTGGATGATCGATTTCATATATACGAATTGATTATTATTTATTAGAACTAAAATAAATTACAATATTTCTCTTGTAAATATTCTTCACATTAAAATGTGTGTGTTCCATTTTATAAGCCCTAGGATTAGCAACATTACATATGTGTACCGGCTGACAATAGATACTTAAGTTGAGTATTATTGAGCGCAGATTTCATTGGATACAATAGCTAAGTGGTCTGTAGAGGATAATAGCAATCATTATATGGACATCCATCTTTTGTCCGTCCATCTTTCCCTAATTGAGCGTCCAT